TTTACATCTAGCCATTATTGGACCACAGCCTGTAAGTCATTCCAATAAATCCCCTTTTTATATATAGAGATTCATTCTATAAGTTCTATAGAGTATAAGTTCTTTTACTCTAAAGCAGCTGTTCTCAACCTGTGGGTCTCAATCCCTTTGCAGGTTGAACAATCCTTTCACAGGGTCACCTAAGGCCATCAGAAAACACAGATATTTACATTATGATTCGTAACAGTAGCAAAATTACAGTTATGAAGTAGCACTGAAAATAATTTTATGGCTGAGGGTCACCACAACATGAGGAACTTTATTAAAGGGTCACAGCATTAGAAAGGTTCAGAACCACTGCTCTAGTGGACCCTGGCTAATACAGGGATGGAGGCAGCTACTTATAAGGAAGGCTGGTGGCAAGAGGGTCACTTGGAATTCCAGAGCAGTGTGGAGCTGGGACTGGTGGCATAAGCTAACTACTCAGAAAGCTGAGGCAGGAGGATTACCACCTTAAGGAGGCTCAAGCCTGGCCTAGTCAACTTAGTAAGACTCTATCTCAAAATAGGAGCCCAAAGGGCCAGGCATATAGCTCAGTGGAGGAACACTTGCCTAGCATGCACAAGACTCTAGGTTTAAGCCCCAGCACAAACAAACAACATCAACAAAACACCTCCCGCCAAAACAAACAAACAAACAAACAAACAAACAAGCAAGCAAACCCAGCCTGACGCATCTGGTTAAATTGTAATTTCAAATGTACAGTTCCGGCAAGTGTGTAACTCAGTGAGAGAACCCACGTTTAGTATGGGCGCAGTTCCCAACACGAACTCAACAGTTACAATACCTAGTGCAACTGCCGCTGTATTTTAGAGTCCTGAACTGATTAGCAGTTCTTCCTCAGGCCCTCCAACTTCCTATGCTGGACAGTTCTTATAAATGGAGCTATATGATATTGGGTCTTTTTTGATCACGTTCTCAGCAGTATGCTTTCAAGCTTACCCATGAACTGAAAAACTTCATTCTGTTGTGTTCTTTGTGACGGTCTGTTTACCATCAGCAGTGGAAGGCCCTTTGGGTTTCCACTGTGCGTTTGATAGGAATAATGCTGCTATGTGTGGACAGGTGTTCTCCTTTCTCTAGGTACATTCCTGGGCCTGGAATTGTGGGTCATAAAGCAAATCGATGTTTAACCTTTGAAGAATGGCCAGACTGTTCTGCAAAACGGATGCACCAGCAGTGTGAGAGGGTTGTGGTTTCTCCCCCGACCCCCCCACCCCCCCACGGACACTCACTTGTCACATGCTTCTGGTTACAGGCATCCCAGCGGATGAAGCAGTATTTCCCCACGTTTTTTCATTTGCATATCCTTGGCTAATGCTGTTAGCATGTGCTTATTGCCCATTTATATAGCTTCTTTGGGGAAGATGTCTATTGAGAACCTTTGCATATTTAAAAAACGGGTTGTCTTTTTATTGAGCTGTAGGCTTTTTTGGTGGATTACAGTGAAGTCCCTTATTGAGATATCATTTACAGAAAGTTTCTCCCATTCTTTGAGCTATCTTTTCATAATCTCTCTCTCCTGAAACTCACTATGTAAATCAGGCTGGCCTTGACCTCCAGAGGTCAGCCTGCCTCTGCCTCCAGAGTGCAACTACCATGCTAGCTTCTTTCTTTCTTTCTCTCTCTCTTTTTTTTTTTTTTTTTTTTTGGTTTTTCGAGACCAGGGTTTCTCTGTGTAGCTTTGGAGCCTGTCCTGGAACTCACTCTGTAGCCCAGGCTGGCCTCAAACTCACAGAGACTCTGCCTCCCAAGTGCTGGGATTAAAGGCGTGCACCACCACCGCCCGGGGCGCTTCTTTCTTTTTTAAGACAAGGTCTCACTCTATGGTCTGGACTGAAGGTCTCTATGTAGTCCTGTTTTGTTTTTTTTTTCTTTTCAGTCTCAGTCCCAGACCCTCATACATGTTACCCAAGCACTCTACCGCCACCCTAGACCTTCACTCTTTTAATACATAAAAATTTGATACTGTGAAGTTTTCTCTCTCCCTTTCATTGTATGCAACTTACACTTTGTCTTGCTTGTTTTCTGTGGTTCTGAGCTTCGAACCCAGAGCCTTGTCCATGCTAGGCTCTACCACACTTTGAGAAATCATTACTAAAATTCAGGTTGCAACTCTGAAGGCACTGAGATAATGTCATAGGGTCTCCTTCTAGAGGGATTTCTTCCATGTTTGGGGATGAATTCTCGTCAGCAGCAGCAGCAAGCCGTGGCTCCTCCTCAAAGCCAGGGAACACAGCCCCTGGGGATCTGTCTCCTGTGTTTACATCCCTCCCTTTCCTGTGGTCCACAATAGAGCAGCTGAAATGACAGTTTGGAAATGTCCTTTATTGTGAAAACTCCATGGCCTTTGTCTGTGGGATTTGAAATTTTCGTTCCGAAGGAGGGGAAGGGATGAGAAGCCCTGCATTGGTTGGTTCCTCGTGAGTCATCCTGACTTGAGCTTGTTTGGTTTTCTCATCCATAAACTAGGGAGAGCAGCTCCGTTCTCCCATCCTAGCGGAGGGACTGTGAAGATGAATTAATTTGTATTTGTTAGACACTTTGAGACCTTAGATGAAAAGCATTACTGAGACTCAAGGTGTTATTATAATAATAAATGATTTAATAGCAGGGTGAGGCCGCTGAGGCAAGACCTGGTGGGAAGGCAGAGCCTCAAAGCTGCCAGGGGGCTGCTGCTAGAGATCCTGGTCCCCACAGCGCCTCTTGGGTTCGGAGGCAGGAAACTCTGGTTTCTCATAAAAACCCTGGGTTGTTTCATCTGGCTGCAGCATAGCCTTATTGAACGCTTCCTACATAAGTTCTGCTTCCTACCTAAGTGAGATTACAATCTTTTCAGGAAACAGGCATATAAATTAAGGCAATTAGAAACAACGGCGGGGCATGGGCATTAGAATCAATTGCTGGATGGAACACGCTTCTAGAAGGAAGTGGGGAAGGAGCTGGTTAAAACGCAGTTTTCCCTGTTAAGGACTCCCAGCTCTACCACCCACCAGCTGTATGACCAAGCCTCAGTTTCTCCTTCTGTAACCGCAATTGTCCTTGTAAAATTCTCAAAGTAAGGCTAACACAGTAAACGCTCCAGTGCTGACTGCTCAGCCTCTGGTTAGACGATGCTTCAGCTGATGTGGCGATCTTGGCCAGACTGCTCAATTCCTCTGAGCCTCACTCAGTATTCTTCCTGCAAAATGGGAGTAAGTGTATTTCCTACCTTAGTGGCTGTATAATACAGTGCACTTGGTAGCCCTTTTTCCTGGCTAAGGAGTGAGGTGTGCATTCAACAGTTTAAAAATCGCGGGGTGGTGGGACGTCCTGGGAAGTTGGAGTTTAAGATAAGCAGGAAAGGACTGGTAAGATTTAAGAGATTGGAGTAGAAACCCGAAACCCAGGCAAGTGCAAGGCGGGAAAGAGTGGGACATCTCACTTTTCCATCCCACCCGGTAGTTTTATCTCTCCGGTCCCTTTCTGGCAATCTTGGCTTTCACCTGTGCTGCCGTTCTTCAGGCCAAACCTGTAAACTAAGTAAGGTGGGCCTAATTTTCTGGGCCCGCCAGAAGGATCGCCTGCTGCAGTCAGGAGCAAGCATAGGGCATGTCTACACCTTACTCTTCACAGGGATCCCGTTTCAAAGTCACCTGAAAGCCATTTCCTCTCGCGCCGCCCCGCCCTGCCCCTTCAGTAAAACACTAGGTGCTTGCTTTCCCCTGGAGCAGCATTTTTTTTTTTTTAAGGGTAGTGGTGGAGGGGATTCTATAAGCCATTTGAGATTCTCACTTGTCTACACCAGGCCTTCTAAATGCTGGCGGAGATGCCTCATTCCTGTCCCAGGGACCCGGTGCCAGCGTCTAACCCGGGAGTCCTGCCTCTTCTTTGGTCTCACCCTGGGCTCCCATCTCCCACCCCTCTTCATGGTCGGTGTTGGGACAGTGTCTAACCTCATCTCCCCTAAGATCTTTACCGCTGAAAGATTTATGCTTAGTGAGGCGTAGTAACAAACACACACCTATAATTGTAGCACTCTGGAGGAGCGCCTACAGTTTGAAGCTAGCCTGGGCTACGAAATGTGGCCCTGTCTCAAGTCAAAAAATAAAAACAGTAATTAGGACGTGGTGGTGCACACCAGTAATCTCAACCCTCAGGAGGTAGAGGCTGGAGAATCATTACGTTCAAGATCACCCTCCGCCAGTCCGGGCTAATTGAGATCCTGTTTCAAAAAAAAAACCAAGACATATGTTCTTGCTCTAAACCTTACTGGTCCGTATTCTATGTCCTTCACCTCCCACCCCCTGTTTTTCCCAAGCATTGCCTTTTGCTGATACCCAGATCACATTCTAAATGGGGTCCTGGGTCACTCAGGTTCCTCAATCTGTTTTTCTCACTGAATAGTCCCGCTGAGAGCCCCACCCAGCCCCAAGTTACGCGCTTCTTATCTCTTTCTCGTCGGAAGGTTAAGATTTTTACAACTGTAAAGAGCCACCGAGACCTAGTTTCGGTGAGGAATTCGAGACGAGCCATTCTGACTCAGCGGCCGTGGTGACCTGCTCCAGTAGGACCAGGACGTCCTTCTCCCTCTAGACCGGTGCTTCCCCTGGGAAAGCCCAGGTGGCTGGCTGAGCCCGGGGTCCTCCCCAGTCGGAACCCAGTCTGGAGGTTTGGGTCGCCCTGTCGGCGTGAGATCAGGCTGGTGGCACTAGGGTAACCCCACCACGTGCGTCTTGGGATTCTAGAGCTCCAGATGGCAGGGGGAGGTGGCCAGCGGGACCCACACGGCCGGCCGCGCGCGTTAATCATTAGCCACCCGGGCGGCTGCCTCCAGCCGGAACCCCAGCTCGCACTCAGCGCCGCGAAGGTTCCCGGGGCCCCTACAGAGCCGCCAATTGCTGGATCGCAGCCCCGAGCGCAGTCTCCACCCACTGGAAACATTCCTGGTCCGCCCCTCCCTGGCTCCCTCCCTCCCTCAATCCTCCCTCCCTCCCGCCGCCGCCTGGGCTCCCTTCGTCCGCAACTTCCTGCCGAGTGCTGGGGAGCCGCGCGCGTGTTGGGGACCCCCGAAGTCCGGTGCTCGCAGCGGGAGGAGGCTGGGACCGCGGGGCGGCCAGCCGTGGGCGGGAGTGGCCGGCGGCCCCAGCCGCTTCCGAGAGCGACTTTCAAACTCGGCGCCCGCTTCGCGGCGGCGCCACCTGGGCAGCCCCGCGCGCCCTGCGCGTCGCGAGCCGGCGGGGCGGCCACGGCTCGGTGAGTGTCCCCGGGTTTGCCCCTCTCTCCCTTTGCCCGTGCGCGATCGGCGGCACTCTTCGGGGACCCCGGGCTAGCCTTCTGTGGGATGAGGACCTGGTCCTGGGCTTCCTCGGACGCACTCGGAGGAGGTTGGAGCGCGGGAAGGTCGTAAGGGGAGTCACTTTTTGTCCCCACCCCGGAAACCAAAGCTGCCCGGGCTCGAGGTGGCTTCGTAGAGTTTCATTCCCGCCACCCCATTCCCCTTGTGTGCACTGGCGCCAGTGGGTTAGTTGGTGCCTGCCCGGGACTGTGGGCCCTTCTAGGAGGACTCGCCTCTGGTCCCGCGAGCCCAGGAGTTCGTAGGCACTCAGCCTGTTCCGGGTTGGTGCCACACGGTGCGTGCTCCTGGGAAGCTCAACTGCCTATCTAGGCGGATTAGAGTGGATGCCAGAAACAGAGCGTCCAGGACCTGCAAGCCTAGAGCCGCTTGCTGGCTGCTCCTAAAAGCCCAGCCCTCCCACTCCTTCCACTGGTTTGGTTATTGGCACCCTCCTCTCAGACCTTCCGAGTCAGGAAGCTTGGACAAGGCTTGCAAGCTGCAGTTGTTCAGGAGGCTGCTTCGGTGGCAACGTTTATTCTGGAGCTACTTTTGAAAACAAAAAAACAAAAAACAAACAAAAAACGGAACGAGCCATATAATGGTTGTAGGGTGGAGAAAAGCGGCTTGGCGAGGTGGTGCTAAAGACAGAGTAAGAGTATCCATTTCAGTCACTCACTAAACTCTTGGTAGATGTAGGGGCTATTAGGCTTCTCTCAGGGCCCCCCAAGAACCGACCGGCACCGTAGCACCTTACAGAAAAAAACTCGGGGTTCGCAGTCTCCCAAGCCGTGTCTCTTCATGCATTCCAATCACATGGCCCTTGCTCAAGAAATAATTAGCGTGGAGTATAATGACAGCTCTGAGAGGGAGAAGATGCTTCCTGCTGTGTCTGGCCTTCTGGAGAGTTCCTTCCAGTCCCTCCTTTGCTAGACTGGAATCTTGGCTCATGAAAGCCCAGCATAAAAAACGTAGGGACTGAACACCAGAAAGTCAGCTCTTCTGTTACTATTATTCTTGTGTGGGTCTGGGCTCGCTGGATGGCTCACAGACCCCCATCTCCCGTTTGTCCATGTATTTTCACTTGCCTGCTGCCTCTGCTGGTCCTCCCTTTCTCGACTGGGAATTGGGAATGAAGTAGGGGGTGGTCTCATCCCTCCACATAGTCTGGGCTGATAAGGGTGGTCTGTCTTAGAGCCGCTCTGGGGCTAAGGTCGCCCAGCCAGGAGAGTGGAAGGGCCGCTGGACTGAGTCCAGTGGGTTTTTGACAGATGTTTAATGCTGGCCCTATTGCGTTACATCGAATATCGGGAGTGTCTGAGGCGTTTTGTGTATATGATTCGCCCGTGGCCGGATCCCACCCTCTCCCCAATTCACTTACCTTTTTTGACTCAGTTTCCATACAGAGTACCTGTTTTTCTTAATGGGGGATGTGGTACCGATCAGAAGAAGGTGCCTGTGTGAGAAGGACACCATAAATTCCTATAAAAGAAGAAACGCTGTGTAGTGAGTGGCTACACGGGGGCCTCAAGCGTCGGCTGGGATATGTCCCATGTGTAACCCAGGAGATGGTGGACACCGGGAGCCTGCGGTGACCGTTTACTCTCTGGCTTGTAATATCTTAGCCTCAGAGTAAACACTGGCCTTAGCAACCCCACTGCTATCTCAGGGTCACTCAGTGTGTTTACACCAGAACAGGCCAAAGGCCATGGCCTGAGAGATGACCAGACCTGGAGTGGGGGAAGGTGTGGGTCCCAGATGTCAGGCCTGCCTCTCGACTCCCACTGCCCTCTCAGAACCCTGTGCAGGCTCCGGTCCTGAGCCTGGGAGGGTGCTGCAAGCTGTGGCCCTGGAGGGTTAATTGTGAAGCAGTTCTCTGTTGGGTTGGGGGTGGAGGAGGGGGCTGCGGTGATGGGAGGTGTTGCTCTTGCAGCTGCACTGACTGAGGGCTGACTTCAGTCCAGCCATCCTGGGCTGTCCCTCTGGCCCAGGCCACTGCCCTGTCCCGCCTCCCTGGCCAGCTGCATGTCCACAGGCCTTTGTTCAAGGGCTAGAGCCCGCCCTACTCATTACCCTCCTCCCCCACTTTCTAGAAGCCCTTGGGCAGGGGGTTTGGCAGCTAGGAATTACTACTGATAGAGGATGGGGGGGACGGGGAGGGGGGACAACTTGGGCATTGGGGGTGGGGTGGGGAACCTCTTCAGGCGTCCCCAGGGTCCTACAGAGCTGGCAGGCTCACCCTGGGACCTCCAACACTCACCTGTACATACTCTCTTTCCCACCTTAAATTCATTCATCTTACATCTATTTTATGTATTCACCCATTATTATTTAGTGTCTTCTATGTGTGAATACTGGACATCGGGGACACAGCACCAGGGACAGATGACAGAAAACAAGATGTGCTATTTGAAAAGCCTTAGCATATGACAGGGAAAGTCAAAGTGAATTGTCATGGGAGGGAGGAGTTGTTCCCTAAGGAAGGGACCTTGGAGTTGATCAGCCAGGGGAGAGATTTTTTGACATGCTCTGGACATCTATCCCTTGAAACCCAGGTCAGCATCCCGATGTGACATTTAAGATCCGGGTTTGGAGTTGGACAGACCTGGATTTAAATCTGAGTTTGACAGCTTCCTAGCCCTGCAGCGATCTGTTGACTAAACGCCTTTGAGTCTGTTTCTCACCTGTAAAGCGGAGTTAGTCATCGTGCCTACCACTTGTGGCATCGTGAGAATGAACAATGAGATAACGCGTCTGCAGTGCTTAGCAAGCCCCGTAGAGCTAGGCACGATTATTTCTACAGAGGTAGCGACAGATACTTCCTGCCAGTGCTAGGACTCTGGATGAAAAGCTGTGCATTTGCGTTTTAAGTACTGGGAAGGAGCAGGGAATTCTGAAGGAGGGCAGCTAGAAAGCTTGAGTCAAACTAGCCGTGAGCCTTTCTATGCTACCCTGGATTGCAGCTAGTTGGGGATGCAAGACTCGCATCAGATGTGTGCTGGCCATTGTCCCTCAGACAGACAGGGTGACCTAGGGCAGCCCTGGCCTGCCTGGCTTTGGAATTCCCCCACGTCCAGTCAGCTGGTGAATCGCACCTTTGTCCCCAGCCTGTACACTTGGCCTCACAGTCCTGAAGCCTTTCCATCCCTCTTCATCTTCATCTGGGCATGGATAGGTTATCCCGGGGGTGGGGGTGGGGTGTATCAAGCACAAGGGGGTGAAAGGAGAGGGGTACACACCGTGAGCAGGTTGTTCAAGGCAGATGTGCAGAGATGACAAGACAGTCTTGACAGGGGTTCCGAAGCACCCTACAAAGACCTTTGATAGGGTTCTCCAGGGACCAGAATGAGTTAAAAATGTAGAGGTCAACTTATGGGAGTCCTCCCACGAGGGTCCTGTGGACCACACTTAGTCCATCAGGCTTGGTGGACAATGCCTTTATCCACTGAGCCATTTTGTTGGCCCAGAAATTAGTAGAGCCTTGTGGTGTTATCTAGGCTGACTTCTCTTTCCTGGGTTTTAAAAATCTCAACTCTCAGAATTGCAACTGGCCGCTACAGACAGTTATAGACACCCTGAGAGCTCAGGGTTGGGCGTGTGCAAATCCAAACTGTCTCCACCCAACCAACCCATGTGACGAGTCTCTTCCCTTCTCTGCTAGAACCACCACCATCCTCCTCCAGAGGGGTTTAATCTAAAACGCTGTTGTCAAGGCTTGTGGCCAGTGGTTTCCTGGGGGCCCTGCTCCTGTGCAGGAAGTGCTGTGGAGGGGCCAGGCCTAGGGAAGTGGTTGTTAGCTAGATCACTCCTCCAAGGCCGCTGCAGGCACATGCATGCACAGGCAAGGCAGCCAGACCCGCCCTGTGTGACGAAGGAACTTTGGGAGCCTGTCAGTTGGTATAAAAGCCTCAGAGGAAGTTAGAAAGAGGGCTTAGTGTAGCCCCGAGCAAGTTTGTGACTTTGGTACCTGAAAGTCAGAAGGAAGAAAACGGAGTCCAGTGATCAGCAGGATGCTAGCTGGAGATGCTAACCACTCCTCGGATGTCTGGGGACCAGCATGTCTTGCTAACTAACCGGATCTGATTTGTTGGGTTATTTTCCGCCCTTTGAAACAGGGTCTGGCTGACCCAGAACTCCCCCCCCACACCACCACCATTATCCTCTTAAACTTACAGTGATCCACTTGCTTTTGCGTCCCAGGCACTGAGATTGGTGTGCCCCCATGCCTGGCCTTGTTGGCTTGTTTTGATTCAAAGCTCTCTGAGAGCAGGAACAGGGCTACACTCATCCTTGTTCTCGTACAGAACTGGCAATCGTAGAAAGCATGATCTACAGGGCGTGACGGGCTGGGGCTGGGGCTCCTCCTCCACCTGAGAGGAATCCTGGCTTGGTCGTCTCATCTTTTCCAGTACCACGGGCGGGGGGTGGGGTGGGGTGTGCACACTGGGTGAGCTGTTGCCATCTGAGAAAGCAAATGAAAAGGAGACCCACACCTTGACAGCTGTTTGGGCTAGCATTTTGGTGAGAATGCTTGTATTTAATGTCAAGGACTAGGATAACTCCCATTCCATGCTGAACAGCCTCAAGAGCTGAGCATAGAAACTGAACAGGGTTCTAGAAGGTACTGGGTACGTGCAGCCTTTTTTTAGAAACATAGTGAGAATCCTAGGAATTTCTCTGACGATTGCTGGAGTCGGAGTCGAGATAGGAGAGAGGAATGTAAGAAAAAGACTTAAGAGAAAAAAATCACACTTTCTTTTGTGTATTCGGTGTGTGTGTGTGTGTGTGTGTGTGTGTGTATTCAGAGACAGCTTGTGGGAGTTCTTGCCTTCTGCATGTAGGACCCAGGAATCGAACTCATGTTGTCAGGTTTGGTGGCAGGTGCCTTTACCCACCGAGACATCTGATTTTGTTTTGCTCC